AACGGGAATTGTAATAAATCTTTATATGACATTATGTAACAAAACTTGCACTAAAGGTAGAGCATCTGCTCAAGAATATGATCCAATGAATTATCAAAATTTGATCAAAAGTACCCGAATACTCATAACGGTACGGACTGACCCATATATAAAATTAAATAATTAGTCGATAATAGGTTATCTTAATAGAATTTTTGAGCTATTGGAATTGTCTCGTCTTTGTCTAAACAGTTCCATGTACAACACTGTAACTGGGTGCCTGTTTCAAACATTAACGACATAGTAAGTGTATCATAGATAATTTTAGAAATTTCTTAATTGAAAGTTATAGGCTGCGTAAGCAAACAAAAGTAGAAATGAAACAAAGGTTTAGACAATGGAAACCAATAATTATTCACATGATTTTTTTATTATGTAATATTTACTGGAAAATTAATTCATTTAAAAATGCTTTGTGACAAAAATCACTAAATGTGCACAAACATATTGTCCTGCAGTGGATCACCTTAACGTTTTATGCACAATATATTTAATTTAAAAATATCCTTTTTTAGCTGTGAGAGAAATGAGCCCAAGAACATATCATACCAACAAAATTATAGAAAAAATTAATTTTTACATTAAATAAAAATATCAAGTCATTGAAAGAACTAAAATATGAACGTGACAAGAAGAGAAATCCCAATGGTTTAATTGAATACCTAGACAGGAAACGTGATATCATTTAATTGTAGGAATGTGGACATATGTAGAATTTTTCGCAAAGATACGTTAAATTAATAGTACACTCTTTTATGTTTTTCTGAACATTGTCTGTTTGATCGATAATGTCTTTTATACTTTCTATACTTTTTTGGACAAGATTTCTTCGAACGATGCACTTTTGTATATAATTTATATTTGTTTGAGCTACGCGTACATGGTTTATAATTTTTTGTAGGTTTAGCAATTGAAGAAGTGCATGCTGGTTTTTTAGGTTTAGCAATTGAAGAAGTGCATGTTGATTTTTTAGGTTTAGCAATTGAAGAAGTGCATGTTGATTTTTTAGGTTTAGCAATTGAAGAAGTGCACGTTGATTTTTTAGGTTTAGCAATTGAAGAAGTGCGCGTTGATTTTTTAGGTTTAGCAATTGAAGAAGTGCACGTTGGTTTTTTAGGTTTAGCAATTGAAGGAGTGCACGTTGATTTTTTAGGTTTAGTAATTGAAGGAGTGCACGTTGATTTTTCGCAAAAATTATAAGAATTAGTGGACAAATCTTGTAATTAATAATTAATCGTACGAGTATTATTTGTGCAT